GATCTAAGTACGTCGACTTCAGCTACGTTATTCACGTAGCTGAAATTGCATAACTTAGATCGATCCCCTCCCCCCCAGTGTAGACCGGCCTTACATCGTTGGAAATCTTTAAAAAAAGGGAGGGTATTGTTTCCAGCACTCAGAACTTTTAAGAGTATAAGGCCAGATATTTGGTTTTCTCAAAGATTGTATGAGAGACAATGAAGTTTATTAAAAACAGCTATTGATTTAAACACTGACCTGTAGTTTGCAATCTGTTGTGTACTTCTATTGTGCAAGTACATAAACCATTGCTATACTTTTTTATATATATAAATTCAGTTTAGCTTTAATGTGTTAGTGACAAAGGAATTTAAAAAATAAACCTAAGCTAATATAATTAGTAAACTGTTAAAACAATAGGTTTATAATGAAGAGCTCAAATCTAACATTTGAAGGGGCAATTTACTGTTCTGGACCATAAAGCATGTTGAATGTAAGAACAAATCTGAAAATAACCAAGCACACTTCTGGATTGTTAACTTTCAGATCCTCAAACAGATTGTCTCTCAGATAAAGAGAGGAGATATAGAAAGAAAAGTTAGGGCTTGTCTGCACAAGTTATACAGGTATAAGGTAAGGTGTTAATTTAAATTGCTATACTGGTAGAATTCCCTGTGTAGGCATTTATTCTGATATACAGTGCCCTTTTTCTAGTTTAGCTTACATTGTTTTGGAAGCAGTTTATGTTTAAGCAGTGGAGATATGTCTGCAGGTTTTGCATCTGTTGCTCTGGCAGGCTCTTGTGTTGCTTTGAGTTGGTATATCCTTGTCAGTGGGGAGCTTGCTTCTGATGATACAATTGGAAAGGTTGGGGGGTTGTTTGAATGCCAGAAGAGGGTTTTCAAGGAAGATTTCTTTCAGGATGGGATCCCCATCAAGTATGGGTTGTTGTAGTTTGATGATACCCCATATGGGGTCCCGTGTGGGATAGTAGGGGACAACGTGTGTGTGTGTGTGTGTGCGATCAGAGGGGGTTTTATTTCTATATTGAAGCAGATTCTCTCGGGGTAACTAGGTGGCCCATTCCATGATGCGATCTACCTCTCTGGTAGAGCATCCTTGTTTGGTGAAGGCAGTTCTGAGTGTGTTACGGTGTATATCCCGGGCTCTCTCCTCGGAGCCTATTTTATGGTATCTGACTGTCTGGTTGTAGATAACAGATTTCTTGGGGTAGTTACTGGATTTATTAAGGTAGGTGTGGTGATCCATGGGTTTCTTGTATATAGTTGTTTGCTGTTTTCCTCAGACCCCAGTAGTGATGAGTGGAACACGCACACATACAGTGCATGTGCATGCAAAATTAGTAATTAAATCCTGAATTAATAATTTCATGTAAAGATCAGGATTATGGAAATTAGGGAGGGTTGGAATCTCTGCTCCTCCTGTCACACACCAACCTCCATTGAGAATCAATGTCACCCTTCAAACATTCCAGGCAGCTTGCTAAAATTAGGCAGAAAGTGAGGATTCCAGAAAGAGAATCCAATTCACAATCAATGTAACATGAACAATTACCTCCTTGAAAAATGGAAAAACAAGTGCGGGGAGAAAAACTTCAAAAGGGTAACCTCTACATTGCAGATAGGCAATTGAGATCCTGCAAGATATCTGCAGAGAAGCAGAGTGATAACCCAAGTTATTTTACAGTTCTCTAAAGAGACCACACCTGGGCAGGATTTTCACTCCCAGAGAGCAAGTAAATCAAAATATATCCCCACACAGGGCCATCCCTAGCTATTCTGGGGCCCTATGCAGCCCCCCCATGGGGGGGGGCGCCCAGGCCTCCACGGGGGGGGAGGGGCTGGCTTGGGGGATAGGGGGAAACCACCCCCCAGCACTCACCAGCAGCATGGCTGGGGCTGGGTTGCTGCACTTCCCGCTGCCGGTGACTGCAGGCCCAGCCCTGCCGCAGTCCTCAGGGGAGTGGGGGGCAGGAAGAGGCGGAGCAGGGGCAGGGGCTTTGGGGAAGAGGCAGGGCTGGAGTGGAGCAGGGGCTGGAGCAGCATGCAGCTGCGCAGGGCACCAGGAAATTTGGGGCACCAAATTTCCTGGTGCCCTGCGCAGCTGCGTACAGGTAAGGAGGACCCTGTCCCTACACCTTCATGAGTAAAACCTGCGGTGCATAAATTAAGTGTTTTGTCTGTCATTTATATATAAAATATAATATAATGAAGAGTAAGATACATATTGTAAGCTCTTTGGAACGGGCACCATCTTTTTGTTATGTATTTGTACAGTGCCCAGCACAATGGGGACCTGATCCATGTGCTACTGCAGTACAAATAATAACCAATGATCCTACAAATTAAGGCTGAAAAACACAATATTCAAGCCTGCACAAAGTCCCCAGGCAAGAATGGGATATCCCAATGTAAAACACACACCTCTTCTGGAGATGGGAGTTTTGAGAGGCTTATAATCACATTTTCTATTTTTATGTTTTTCTCTTCTCTGCTGCTGCATGAACAAAAGAGAAAATTGCCTGTAAAAGGAATTATGTAAACTATGTTGAAAGTAAACAATCGGACACAAATACAGACATTTTATCTTTCAGTTGTGTGTCTTAGGTAAAGAACTTTTTTGACAGAGTATGATTATTAAATTCAGCAATGAGTTTCTGTACTGCTTCTCCAAGAGGCATAGCACAGAACTTCCAGTCCAGAGGGAGGGAGTGGGGCTATTGTAGTTTTAAGCCATCTGTGTTCTCTCAATCCTGAACTGACACAACCCCTGGAGGCCTGTCTAGGTTACAGCAGCCACCCAAGCTTCTCTACGTGTTGAAGTGCTGCCTGGACCTGGAATCTCCACAGTGTTATGTGCTGTGTCGCTGCTCCTGATACTTCTCTCGCGTCTCCAGCCACGACCCCATGACACTCTGACCTCAAACGCTTAAGTCATATGGCCAAATACTGTAATGCTTACGTGCCAATCCACAGAAAGAAGTCCTCTTAGAGGCTCATCTTACATATGATGGAATTTGGAGGAAGGATAACTCCTTCAACTAGGCTTTTTGGGCTGTATGTGAAGGAATCGTTATATAAATTATATTCTTCAAAGACAGAGTGACAGATTAATTCTGAGGTTTTATTCTTTTCCAACAAAGTATGCAAAGCATCAATATCAACATCTGAGTTTGTTGTTTTTTTTTAATTTTAACACCTAATACAATTCCAATTTAAAGGATTACTTGCACAAAAAAATAAACACATTTGGTATAAAAAATTTATCACTTTAACACCCTTTTTCTTATGATCTGCACCCTGTTCGGTGCAGAGACATATAAAGACTAATGGCACAAATTTGTTTTTACTCTACAGGAGTTTGTTTTTATGTACCCAAGTACTCTAGAGGACACCAGCCCGCTTTATACAAGAACCATTTTCTTCAGCCTGCTGAATTTAGTTTCACAAAGAAACAAAGCTATAAAGGCATTATAAAAACAACTGCCTTATATTCTTTTTAGATACACTGACTTTTTGCACCATTTATATACATACTGTTATATAACAGCTCTTGAGTACAGTACATGCAGCAGAATATGCCTGTTGAATATAAAACATACATTTAAAATCTTCTCCTGTTAGAATTCTTTGAAGACTGAATTATTGTAGAATGCCCACTGCTCTGAGAAAATGGTTTGAGAGTACAAATGTCTGCATATGTTGGCCACTGGAAGAATCCAAGGCTAACTGGAATAATATTTATAGCACATCAGTAGTGCATAAATAATTTACTTACAATATTAAAACACAACTAGCAAAACTAATAGTTCAAGATCTTATGATTGCTATATTAATCCTTCTTTAAGTGGTTGCAAAATGTGATTTGTTAAAGTCCTCTATAAAATCTTTAGGATGTCATTTGTTTTCCAAATGAAGAAACTTATTTATGTCTACTGCCTCTTCTCTTCATTGCAGCAGTACACTGTGGACAGTACCATTTCCCTTTTGGTGCCTCTGTCAATCCAACACAGCCATAATGGAACCACTCTATTGGGCACTATAAAACAAATATACAGAGAAAGTTTTATTGCACCTGTGGCAAGAAACGGATATTATGAAGTATGAAAATGGAATCAGCAAAATGACATCCTGTCCTCCACATAAAGTTACTAGTGACAATAAGAAGGGCAAAAACAAGAGAGATGAATGAAAAAACTTCACTTCCTATAATAAGTACAGAAGATGATAGAAAATTTGAACCATCACACCTGGACCCATGCACCAAGAAAAAGGTAAAAATTTAAACCATGCTTCGAAAGTGCATTTTAAACAATCAAGCTCCATGTTAAAGCATGGTTGAAATCATATGATTTATCACCTTTTATAAAGGTCTGGGGAGTAAATGAGCTATCTTAGCTTTAAAAACAAATAGTTGAACTTGGATAGCCCACATGACATCAACAAGTAAAATAGCACTACGCTAGAATGATATAAGGTGAGTTGTTTAAATATGTAGAATCTGACAACTCCTAAGAGGAACTAATACAAAAACACAGTAAAAAAAAGAGTAAACAGTGACTGAACTGGCATTTACTGATATTATACATTTAAAAAAACAAGCACATTGAATTTCTACTTATGTCTGATGCTATGTCCACGTGGCCGTGCAGTTCGGTCTATAAACTGCAGTGTAAACTAGCATGCTGTGCTGTAACTCCACCATGTGGATGCTGCGGGTGAGAACTAGAAGATATCTAGTTTGCATTAATGTAGTCCTCTTTAAACAGCACTACATTAACATGAACTGGTACCTCTTACTTCATGCCTGCGGCATCCACATGGGAGAGTTACGGTACAGCATGCTATGCAATTCACAACCCTGAAGTCCAAATTGCGGGCCATGTAGACTATACTTTACATTGTGATCAAACATCTCGTTCACATTGCTTTTATATTATCTCTGAATTTGCACTATGACCTGCCCCAATTTCTACTGTGCTAATCTCTTGATTTTGCTTTATTTATTCTTGAACCTCTGAGCTCTCTGGCATAGTTGCTCTGGTTGTCACTTGTGTTAAGTGTCAGAATGCTCAATGACACAGTGGAGCAGCATGAAATACAAGTGGTAGCAAGAGTGAAGTAGCCAAGTGTGCAATCTCTCCATTCACACACAAAGCTGCTTACCAAACTTCTACAGGACCAAGGAGCAAACCATGGAGAACATGAGCCAGATGGAATGCAAACTAGAACTTGCGTTCTGGTCACTGGCTGCTACAAGTTCAATCACAAGTGCCTTTCAAGAAGTTTTGCAGGTTCTTCCTCTCCCGCACCCAATTTTTTTCTTTTCCAAAACAGATTCTTGAAAAATTACTGAGAGTTTTATCAGTTTTCATTTTAAACTGAAAACTGGAATATACAAGTCGTTTTAGCCAGAGGGAAAAAAATAATTAAAACTACTTCCAGTGCATGTTCACTGGGCTATCTTAGAAAACAAAACAAATTCTCATCCCCCAAGTCTTTAGCATTTTGCTACTTACATCTTGGTTATCGCAGCCCACCATTTCACCATAGGACACCTAGTTCAAAGATAAAATTCAAGCTATTAATATAGGAAATAATCAGCCTCTTCAATTACTGAACAATTCTATGGCAGTTTTCCTATACAAGCTCTGTAATAAACAACAAGATACTGACAACCTATATGTTGCAATGACATTTATTTTCAACATTAGATTATTTAAAAGAGAAATAAATATTTGAGTCCAATTTGCTTGTCTTTATGCAAAAAGACAGTGAAGTTCATGCATGTCTCAAGTTGGACATGAAGGGCCAGCACTCAGTGCTTAGCGCTTCTAACATCTGCCTGAAACCTCAATAACGTCCATTCCACATTTGTTTATGATCAGTTTCCACTTTCAGATTTAAGAATTCAAACAGTACCAAATGGCACACTTGTTTAAAAAAACAAAACAAAACACAAACACCAATAGAAACACAACCAAATGTTTTCATTGGAATTTATAAAATTTTAGATGCACAACTATTAATCTTAGGTTGGATAAAAACTCACTTCTCTGAAATACAAATATGCTTGGACCATTTTCCCAGTTCTACCTCCCCAACCTTCCTTCTTATTTTAAGTAATAATGGACTTCGCAAATCTTGTAGAAATCATCCAAAAACCTGAAAACAAAACTGATCAAATATAAGGGAAATTTACCTGCACAAATTGCTTAATATTCCCAACTAGTAAACAAAGTGTGTTTAAACAAGTTCAGCATGTAAAATTAAGTGCATCCCTATAAAAAAGGGGGACTGTGTGCCTTGTAAAAAGGCAGCTTGACCAAGTTTTTGATGTACCCATTAGCAAAGCATCTAGAGAGCTTCACACATGAGAACAGTCACAGAATAAAGTCATTCAGTAGTCAACTCCATTATTCATGTCACTTACGAGTGTATATTGACAGCATTCTAGCCCTGGAATTCTTAACTGTTTCAGAAGCATAAAAGAAAAATTCCCAGAAAGCTACCTATCCACAATATCTTCAGAACCCCATCAAAGTAGATGCCTACAGTGCCCATGGGGATGACTAAAAGCAACTGAAAAAAGGGATAGGTTTTAAAATTTGGTCCTCATATGCTTGAATATATCTGCCATTTTGAAGTACTACATGGCCATTACTAATTACCTAACATCATTGTGATTTAGTTTATACTTTTTTTTTGACAACCTGAAGCAGGGGTAAACTAATATTGGCTATTCCAAATAAGCAGTACCTACATATCCTCAGTTGCACTTTGGTTTTATTTTAATTATAGTATACAGTATGATTTTGGGCAACATAGAACAAATATGTATACACTGTACTTTTAAAACAACCAAACACACAAAGTGATACAAAGATCTGAACTGAGCTGAGATCCATCAATTAACTGAAACTATACAAGTTTCACACTTTACAAACTAACATTTATGGGCTGAAATGCTAAATTATAGTGAAGCAGCGCATCTGTTGAGAAGCTGCTGAGTTTAAGACTCGTATATACAGAGCACTTACCTGATTACAAATGCAGTAACGTGGCTCATTTGGATCATAGGTCCAATCAACTTGGTTGTTAGAATCAGACTCTGGTATTGCTGCTGTTTGCTGAGATAGTTCCTGTGCTAAAGCAGACGACGAAGAACACGATGACAGAGATGAAGATGATGATGAGGAGGAGGACTGCTGGCTTGAAGACTTGTTGTTGTTTCTGAAAAATGAATAAATATACTAAATACTTTCTGAAGTAAGATCTGTTCACTCTATTGCCAACTCAATGAAATATGAGGAAACAAGGCTCAGGAGAGTGCTGGAAAGAATCGTTGATGAGGGGCCCACATGCTATAGTAATCAAGTGTCATTCTCAAACAGATTGTATTCAGCAAGTACTGTGAGTTCAGATGGATATGTTGCTTCTCTTTGCCAGAGAATAAGAGCAACTTTGTATTCTGGTATCCTTACAAGAAGGGGGCCAATTATTCCAACTGATGGAATTTAACGTGTTAAAGCTGCCAAAAACAACTGATTCATACTTCACAATCATTGCACCGACAGCCTTCATAGGTCAATGTAAACAATACACATTGTTAATACACAAGTAACCAATGAAATAAATGGGAATTTGTATATACATTAATCTATACTGCACATGTAATCTGTAACAAACAGCTGTTTTTTGAATAGTCATCTTTACATCCATTCCCCTGAAATAAAACCGACATTCTACAACAAGCAGAAAAGCGATCTTTGTAAGCTCTTTGAAGATAAGAAAAGCTGTTACTTAAACTGAGAATTGTAAACTGAGCAGTACTTGTATGCTAACTCATTCCAAGGCACACCACAAAAAGAGAATTGCAATGTCAAAAGAAAAACAAATTTAGCAGAGAGCATGTTTAGGTACAAGTTAACAAACAGCCTGAACTACCAAGATCTCATTTTAACTCACCCATGATATGGGACCCCTGGTTCAATTCCCCCAGCTGCCTGATGAGGAGAAGGGATTTGAACATGGGTTTCTCACCTCTCAGGTGAGTTCCCTAACCACTGGACTGTAGAATCACTCTCACTCGCTCCCTGTCCAAATACTTATTTAAATATTTATAAACCGTGGAACAGCTTCAACAGGAGAGACTGAGAAAGGCCCACATCAGAATGTCCCATAGTCCAGTGATTAGGGTACTCACTGGGCAGATGGCAAACATGTTCAAATCCATTCTCATCAAGCAGATGGAGGAACTGAACTGGGGTCTCCTAAATCTCAGGTGAATTCCCAAACCATTGGGCTAAATATTATAAAAGGCAAGTGCTACTCCTTCTGCCCCCCACATCCTCTGGTCGTTTTCCGTGGAGTTAGCTGTGCTTTGAGAATGCTCCACAGGTGAGACATGCCTATCTTCACCTGATTTAAGGATAGCACTGGGGCTTAGGCATTATATAGGTGCCTGGGCACCTAAACTGAGGCATTGTGCACACGCACAGTGGCTGAAACTAGGCAGTTGAGAACTTCTAGTGAAAAGTTTAGGCATTTTAGGCATCTCCAGTGCTAAGCAGCAGCTGAACAGGGGTTTTGTCAGACGTGCCAAAATTTAGGTATCTAAGTCCTTTCTGGATCTGGGCCCTACATTTTAGTATTCTCCCCCCATTATCTGAACTGATGGATAACATGCTAAACATAGCTGAACAAAATAGAACATACTTGCTTTTTCGACCACTCCGTGAATCTGTAGTTGATGAACTTAATGTTTGTGTTAATGTAGATGCCAGAGCTGATGATGAATATCCAGTTGAGTCTCTGGATAATGAAAATTCTCTCCCAAGTTGAAAGTCATTGTTCTTAAAGGCTTCATAGCTGGCTTTTAAGCTGGATGTTCTTCTTCCTTCCTTCATCTAAAGGAAACACTGATATTAGAAAAAAGGATACTATACAGGTCCTATAGGCCTATGCTATGAACTACTAGCTGTGCAAATATTTTATTTAAATGGTAGCTACTATCCAGTTTACATCATGGTAGAAACAGCCTAATGAGAAAAACCCACACCAAACCCCCTTTTCCTGCAAGTCTTTTGTCATGAAACCACAACATAAAGAGAAGTCAACTGAAAAAGTGATCATGAGAATTCAAATCAAATAAAAGCATAAGCCTTTCTCCATTGAATTGGATGGCAACTTCCTTAAGATATTTTATGGGGAGGTTGTTACCTGTGCTGTGGCTTGCACTGCTTGAGCTGCTGCCATGGTAATAGCACCAGCTCCAGATCCTGAAGATAATGAGCCCAGGTTATATGATGCCAGTGGCTGAGAAGAGTTTGCATTGTATGCATTGTTGGAAGAGGATGATGAATTACTGTTTCGACACCCTGGATGAACAAAACACTTTTATGAAATTTAAATTGAAACTAAAAATTGCTTTACATTTAGTAAGCAGAAAAAGTTACATATAACAACCAAAGATTAGAAACTTCTCTTAACTTATGATAATGCTACAGGAAGGACTGGTCATGGCACATTGCTTATTACTGCCATGCACAACAGCCAGTTTGATTTACCATCTTTGTTTACCCCCTCATTGCATATCAGGATAATGTGGTCTTGTGGAAGGGATTGTGCCTCATGTCAATCCTCACTAATCTCTCCAGTTAAGAAGCAGCGGCTGCTCTGTAATCTGAGTCCAGTCCAGTCTTTTGGTTGCAATTTTGATGGCTACAGTACACATCCTCAAAAAAGTGCAATTTAATACTACTGTAACAACCATACCATTCTTAAAAGCAAAATAAATCATATATCCAAGCAGCTAAGGACCAGAACTTTAACACAATACCTGGTTGCAGTTGTGAATTAATCGCTTTGTAAAGAAAGTGCAGTTTCCTAATATTTAGCTACCATACACTTTACCAAAAGTAGCAGGGCATTTAAAAAAAAAAAGTAATAAATGACCATTAATAGTAGACTATTAAAAATAGCAAAGCACTAAATACTAAAGTTACCAAAGAGTTAGAGACACCACAAACCTTACTTACAATTAAGTAAAAGTAGTCCATATTTACAAATCCACTTCTTTCCCTTGAAATAATGTCACCAAGACCACACAGTTTTCCTACAGCCCATCAGCAGGCTTGATAAGTATTATTCACAAAACCAGGATGAGTTTACAAGACAACAAAGCTCAAATTAAAGGAGATAAAAGGCAGAAGCAGCAATGAAATTGATCTGATGTTTTGCATATGACTCAAAACAGTTCAGTTAGAGCTTAATTTGATGTGCTGACTCCTCCACCCCAAGGAAAAAAGGACTGTGAATGCACGCATCTTGAAAATGAATAGAAATTCAGAAAAATTTTGAATTTACAGTATACATGGTAGCTTCCTTTCCACTACATTAAAATATCTGACAATCTAACAAATGGATTGTTTCCTCACTGCTGCTAGGAAGCAGGTCAGACCTGCCATTTAACAGCTGTGGTCCAACCTCTTCCCCACCACTTTGAAAGTAAAAATAGTCAAACATTTTTTCCTCAAAGTGAGAAAAATTTAATTTTTGTGAATACACAATTTGAAATTTTTACTGTCCCTCCTCCAAGAAATATAATAAAATAGAATTTGGCATTTAGATTACCTGGTGTGTTTTCTTTAGAGGCATCTGAAGTGAGAGTAGACAAAAGAGCTTCAGATTTAAACTTCTTTTCGGGAACATGATCTGTTGTACTATGGTGAGAAGATGGATTATGCTTTCTTTCTGTATGAAAAAAACAAACGTAATGTTTACTAGATTTGAAAGTGAAGGTAGTACTCATGAAAGTGAAGAACTCAATAGCCTTGACCATAATCTGGGAAAGAATAAACAGGTACTATAACCATACAGCTCTATTAACTGACTTCAGTCCCAACAGAAAAACCCTGACATTTCATTCTTGGGCCTCCCTGGAACAAATATTATTAATACCACTAAGTTGTGCCAAATGCTGGTGGGGTTTTTGAAATGTAGGCAAACAAGGGTTATGAGGAGAACTCAGGAAATACCTAATTCTGAACAAAACATTATACATTGAAATATTTCACCAACACATGTAGTAAAACTGAAGATGAAATGTTCAATTCCAGAAACTTACTCTCTACTGGAGTGTGTGAATGGGCATGATGGTTATTCACTGGCTGTGATGGTGTATCCAGTTCCAGAGAACCTAATATACAGTTAAAAAAGCAGTACAATTGAAATGCCAACCACAAAATAATGCAGTGTAGCTAACTTTAATCTTTCAAGTCATCTTCACTTTTAGATATAAAATGCATCTTTAAGAGCTGTACAATACAAGAATAACTCCACAAAAAGAGTTATATTCATTTTAGCCAGGAATCCTAGAAAAGGAGTTGGACTTCAAAGCACTGTCTATGCAGCTATTTTTAGAGCACCAGAACAAGCCCCAGGAGAGCACAAGTCTGTTGATCCAAACTGTGAGGAGTTTCCACTCGCTCCAAAACGCTAAATAGACAACCTTCAGTGTCAAGTGAATTTGAAACACCACTGGACTGATCCAAGCCCATTGAAACCAAAGGGAACCTTTCCACTAACTACAGTGAGCTTCAGATCAGGCCTCAGAAGTTGGAAGATTCAGATAAGCCATTTTACTATGCTGTACTTGCTGGTTTGCTCTGAGATGGTTTTATGATAGGTCATGGATTTTTTATTTGTGGTAGATTTTTTTACAAAAGATAGGACCTTAGCAACAATACTTTTCACAGTGTGTCCCAGAGGTCTCAATCCATTAAAAACCACTCAAAAGCCAAAATCTCTATTGAACTGGATAAACACTAGGACACAACTGCATTTTTAAGGCAAACCTTCAGCTAGTATCTGCTTTTGGCTGGAAAAGAAAGATAGGTCCAAAAAAGGAAGAATTTCCAAGTTCAGGGAATAACTAAAGGATGCAGATCTTATATTTAAGACTCAAAGTTTCTTGTAGCACTAGACTTCAAGGAAGCCACATGATCAAGTGCTAGGAGAGGCTTTATGACAAAGCAATTGTTAAGACAATATACAAAATAAAAAACATTTGAGTGTTCAAATGTATGCAATATCATTTTGGATGGGCTGGAATCTATTCATCCTATCAATGTTAGTTACTACTTTAACTTATTTAATTACAGGACAACAGATTAGAGTCTGAAAAGTTGTCTAAATAATCCAAGAAAAGAACTAGAGTTCAATAATTACTCTACCACTTCCACTTTTTTTTTTTTTTAAATGTAGGTATTTGGGAATGAACACAGCAGTGCTCAGATGATTGAGACAAACCCAATGACTTCATTTTAACAGGACAGGACTAAGCATCAAAGTTACATTTTTAGGATATTCTTGGTATGCTAGCATTACTCATGTAACGGACAAGCTCAGTGCTTGCCCTCTTGTGAACACTCAACTATACATCTTTATTCTTTGGTCACTAAAATACTAGAACATTTGACATTTCATTTTTGAATACTTGGTAAAAAAGTTGAGATATAAAACCTGCCAAAGCACATTTTGATTTCTAAATATTTAATATTTAGTTTTGTCATGAGTAACAGAAAGCTCATCTTTCTGATCCCTCTCTCATCTGACTTAAGTTACTGTCTTACTAGTTCTAGGATTGAAGGAAACAGATGTTGAATTAATTAAAACAGTAATTTTCCTATAAGATTTACTGTAGTTGTATTTAGTCATTTAAGATTTTATATACGTTGTCCTACTGCAAGCTAAACAAAACAATTATCTTTTACTGTAACTGTCAAATTGTTTCCCAAAATATCTAAAACGGGTTTAGTGTAGTGTTCTTCCTGGAACAATAATTGCTACTATTATACTGTTTGTTAAGCATTTGATTAGCAACAAATCTAGCAAAAAGCATTATGTATCAACATAAAGAATTAAGTCCAATCAATGAAAAAAGTAAAGTTACTTGTCCAAAGACAGACTGGAGCTTAAGTTTGATAATCAAAGAAAATTATTAGAGTTTTTTTTTTGTAGCAATAGTTACCCAAGTGCACTCTGTAAAATGCTTTTGGGGGCATAACAACTTTGAGGCAACCCAGGGAAGAAATTTAGCCAACGAGGCATTTCTTTTAACCACTTCTATTGCCATTCAGCACCCTTTACAAAAATGGACATAATGCTAGTTTTCATTTTACGCTTTGGGTCACATGCACTAGACAGTCAATGCATTTAGGATTTTAACTACAGGTGAGCAGGTTGTCTGATATGCAGTAAGTAAGTTAACCTGCTCTGGACAAGTGAAGCGTTTGACTGGCCTGAGCTTCTGGACAGTAGAATTTTCTAGAATGATCAGTTTTTTAAAACGTAAATTAATAACACATTTGATTTACACAGCAAATATAAATTTTTAGTTGTGCATTATATGTTATTATAATTATTATTTATGTATGATTCATATTACCTGATACATTTAATAGATAATGCCTTAGCTTAACTTGATTTGGACCTAGTTATATAAGAAACTAAACACCTAGTTCTCAGATAACTAAAATAGTAATATAGGCGGCAATGACTAAGCATATAAAGAGGTTTTAAAAAATTAGATAGGGCGTGAAACTCTTTTTAAAATATAAGAAACAAAGCATTTAAGTTTAAACTCAAAACAGATTTTGGAAACAAGCAGAAACAAACTGCTAACCTTTAGCAAGATCTTCTTTTGACAAACATAATGTTACTTTCTTCAAAAGATAATGGCGTATACTTACGTCTTTCTAGTATTTCTGTAATCCCAGCATTATCTGCCTCAAGTTCCATTTTAAATTTAGCTAGTTCTTGGTCCAACTTTCTCAAGTGCCGGTCTACCTGTTTTAAAGCAGATCAATGATGACCTCCAAAACTTGAAATTGTTTAACAGTGATAAAACTCTACAACTCTTCAGAGAATTTAAGAGTTTTGAATATTTAATGAGACACATTAGAAGAATGAAGTTTGATAGACTTCAGTGATGTAGGGACTTACAAAAGGAATCGGCATAATACAATGCCTTAGAAAAAACACTGCACTTAAAAACTGTCTTCCATCTGTAATCATACAGCAGAACTAACAATGTATGTCACTATATTAGCAGATTAAAGCTATTTTAGCAATTATCAACTCACCAAGATAGTTTAAGATTATAAATCCATTAACAAAACAGCAAAGAGAATGGCAGACAAGAAATCATTAAGTGCCTTTGTAACATTGTACGGTTTTCAGTTTGCTTATTTTGTACCCCGAAGGGATATATAATAAGGATATTTAAGACTCTGCCAGCCCACACAACACATTAAAAAGGCACTTATCTGATTTATCCTCATCTTCCCCATATTATTCTGTTAATGGAGTTAGGATTTTAAATTATTTTGTATTTAAAGAGTATAAATTCAACATTACAGCCATAATTAAAGGTTTGTCTTGTGCACACATGAAATGAAAATTCACAGAGGCATTTCCAAAAAAGAGAGAGAGAGAGCGCGAGAGCGCAAGACAGTCCATCATTCACCCACACCACTATACTTTTTGCATAAAACAGAACAAAATATTTTAAATGAAGTGGAAACATGGATGTTTAAGTCGTAACTGTGACTTTCACTTTTTAAAACAAGTTGAGTTTACCTTTCATACATTACTATAGTAACAACTTTTTGTTAATACTTCTGTAATGTGCAGGTAAGATAATAAAAGGGTACTGCATATGACAAAGTTTAGAATTCCTTAAGACAATCATGTTATTCACTTTAATCCCTTTGTTTACTTACCAAGTCATAAATCTGATTTGCCAATTGTACTTTCTCATCTGCATCTTCCAAAGCTTTATAGTAATCCTGTTAAGAGATTTTTGGTAAAATGATCAAAATAACTTGAGTGGTTCTTCTATGAATAATTACTGAATTCCTCATTTTGATTTATATTTCATAGTGAATTACAAATCCGATAAAATTTATTGCTTAGCCTTTAAAAAATATTCTATAAAGACAAGTCTCTCAACGATTAATTCACCTACATTTTTAAGTGATACCTACTTGACATTTTTAATCTTTTCTAGAGCAAAAACAACAGAACAGAACCAGGGTATCAAAAGTGCTGACGTATTCTCCCTGCTATATTATGGTGTCATTACACAAGTTAGTTTGCTGTGAGAAAGGAAACCTGGGCCAACTTGTTCCACTCTATATTAACACATACATAAACTGATAGAATAGCTAATATCCAGCATGTTAAATTGTGTGCCATTTAAAAAAGGATCTTTAAAAAAAAGTGAGTAATTATCACTCATTGTAGATTGCTGATTGACCCTCTAAAATAGTATGTTCCGCACCCTAGCCATTCAAAAAGCAAATTGAATAAAGCTTTGAAGGGAGTTACATTCATCACTGAAGCCTGGTCTACACTACAGTTAGTTTGACGCAAGGCACTTTTGTTGACCTAACTTTGTAAGCGCCTACACTAAAATGTTGCTCCCGCCGATGTAACTCATCCACTACATCAAGTTAGTAACTCCACCTCCAGGAGAGGCATAGCGCTTAGGTAGTTAGGCAGATGCCGTGAGGCCAACGCAGTGTCAGCGTAGAAACTGCGTTACTTACATTGACTTTAGTGGCCTCCAGGAAGTGTCCCACAATGCCCCACCTATGACCAATCTGGTCACCATTTAGAATTTTGCTGTCCAGAGGCCAGGTACAGAGGTACATGCCCCTCCCCTTTTAAAGCCCAAGAATTTTTTAAATTCCATTTTCTGTTTCCTCCACGTGGAGAGCTCATCTAGCAATTGCCCAGCTGAACATGCTGGCTACACGCTGCAGACACACTCCTGTCTGGAGTGCACAGGAGGTGGTGGATCTCCAGAGTCTGTGAGGAGAAGAGGCTGTGCAGGCACAGCTCTGATCCAGCCATAGAAACGCTGTATATCTACGATCAGATCGCACGGGGCATGGTTGAAAAGGGATACAAGAGGGACCAGCAGAAGTGCCGCACGAAAGCCAAAGAGCTGCAGCAGGCATACCAGAAGGCATGGAGGGCTAAGTCGCTCTGGTGTGGAGCCGCAGACATGCCACTTCTACAAAGCGCTGCTTGCCATATTCGGTGGCCCACCAAGCCCAAAGGATACTTCGGGGTAGCTGGTGTCACAGGCCTCCAGAGTGAACAGTGAGGAGAAGGCGCTGGATGAGGAAGAGGAGGAGGAGGAGTATGGGGGACAGTCGACTGGGGAATCCAGTGGTGCAGGGAGCCAGGACCTGTTTTTGACTGCAGAGCAGTCAAGCCAGTCCCTACAATCCAGCACGGGCGAGCCTGATGCAGGGGAAGGAACTTCTGGTAAGTATGCAGTTTGTTTTAATATTGAAGAGACACGTCTGTTCATTTACTCATGCTAGAAGAGGTGGTGAAATAACCAACAGAGGTAGAGTCACTGCTTCTCATTCCCCTGTACAGTAGAAAGGGCCCTGCAGAACAGTTTATGTACACTGGGATGCCCCATGAATACTCCACAGAGTTCTTGAGGAAACTTTTCTGGAGGTAGTCTGTAATCCTCTGATGAAGATTTCTGGGGAAGGCTGCTTTATTTCTTCCACTGCGGTAGGACACTTTCTTACACCACTGAGCAATTACTTTAGCAGGCAGCATTGGAGCACACAGGCTAGCGGCATATGGACCCGGTGTGCAGGTGGATGCGTGTAGGAGCTGTTCCCTTTCAACCTCCATTACCCTCAGGAGTACAACCTCAGGCAAAATAACCACCGCCTGCGGAAAATTGTTCAACTGCCCTATCCACATATATTCATGCCCAGGAACAAGGGGAGTGAATTCACTATACCACATTTCCATTTATCTTGTGAATACACTCACAACAGTCCCTCTGTGCACTGTATCTTTTGCAGCTAGAAATGTGGTCTTGTGGTTCTCTCCATCCACACCAGCGGAATGGCTCAGCCAGATAAGAAAGAGAAAGAAGAGGACATGGGATGACATGTTCCAAAGAGAACCTGCAAGCCTCTGGTGCTTCAGATACCTAGCACAGGGCTTGGAGGATCACCCTTGAAGACAGCATGGACAGGGATAGAGTGAAGAGGAGAAAAGCACAGGAAAAAGAGAGAGACACGCAGTAGGAGATGCTAGCGCTTTTCTAGCGGCAAACAGACATGCTGGAGACTCTTGTTGACCTTAAGCATGGGTCTGTTGAACCTGGTCTCCCTCTGCAGCCCATTGATAACTGCATTCCAGAACCTCCCTATTCCCCACCCCACATTCTACATGGCATCGGGGATCACAGCAATACCTGTATCACTCCACCCCAGGGGAGATCACAGTCTATCCCGGCTGCACATACACTGACCTGAGACACACACAGTTGGTGAATGTGTTTGGGAAATGAAAATGACTGTTCTTTCCACCTCAAAGGTGCTTTTTCCTCTGTTTAAAAAGTTTCATTCAGTTAGAAATGTGTCTGTTTGCATGGTTTTGGAAACAGAATTCATCTTTATTAATTCACAATATAGGGTGGCTGGGGCTAACATGATTCACAGATAATAGCAATAAGTGCATTTGCAATGTTATTTTACTACATACTCATTACAAGGTTCATACTAGGGTGCAAAAACACCCAAAACAAAAAACAATAAAAAAACAAAAAAAAACAATGCCAGGCAGAGCACACTACAGCAACACACATTACTGTGGCTCACTATTAAAATGGTCTTTCAAAGCCTCCCTGTTGAGCTCTTCTTATAGCTCTGGTATCTGGCTGCTCAAAATTAACAGACAGCCACTCCACCTCCGCCCTTCACTGCAGCGGAAACTTTTCTCCCTTTGCTTCACAGTAGGCAGCTATAATCATTGAGGTTTTTTCCACTGAGGTCTAATCTCTTGAGTAGACAGTACCGGCCAAAGACACATTCAACAGTCATTCTACATCTGATGAGCCTCTAGTTGAAGTGCTCTTGGCTGCTGTCGAGGTGGCCAGTGTACAGCTTCATGAGCCATGGGAGTAAGGGGGTAGGCTGGGTCTCCCAGGATCACTACTGGAATTTCAGCACTCCCAGTGGTAATCCTCTGGTTTGGAAAGAAAGACCCTGCTTGCAGCTTTCAGAGCAGGCCTATGTTCTTAATTATGCGTGCTTCATACACCTTTTCTGACCAGCCTGTGTCGATAAAACATCCCTGGTGATCCACTAGCGCTTGCAGTACGATAGAAAAATAGTCCTTTCTGTTGATATACATTGTGGCAAGGTGGTCCAGTGCCAAAATAGGGATATGCATGCCATCTATCGCCTAACCACAGTTCAGGAACTCCACTGCTGCAAAACTATCTGCTATGTCCTGCAAATTGCCCAGAGTCAGAATCCTTTGTAGCAGGACGTGATTAATGCACACTTGCATCACAGCAACCCCCACTTGGATTACCCAACTCCAAACTGATTTCTGACTGATGGGTAGCAATCGGGCATTGCCTACTTTCACACAGCTATTACCACTTCCTTCTCCACTATCAGTGCAGCTCTCATTCTGGCATTGCTGCACCAGAGGCTGGGGCAAGCTCCGCAAACACTTCCAGGAATGTGGCCTTGCACAGCCAAAAGTGCTTCAGCCACTGCTCATTGTCCCAGGCCTGCATAACAACGCAATCCCAACAGTTAGAGCTTGTTTCTTGGGCCCAAAACCAGTGCTCCACTGTCCGCAGTTCCTCCATGAATGCCAACAACAACTTTGAATTGTCTCTTTCCATGTCCCACAGCAAGCTAGCCTCCAAGGAATCGTCATGTTCCCCACAGCTCCACTGGTAGATTGCAAATACTGCAGAATCAGGCTTGTGCTCACAATCCTCATCACAAAAGCATAGAGCTGTGCAGGATCCATGCTTCTCACAGAGATGGCAGACAAGCAGGTTTGCAGGGCTTTTGAAACCGGCACGAAATATTATGGGATGCAAACAGAATTATGGGATGGAGAGAACTGCATCATTAAATGTTGAAAACATGTTCCCATACACCCCTGCGTGATTTGTTTGCCCCAGGAGGCACCGCTTTTCCACAGCATCCTGCGCTAGATGGTGGCAACTTGCACAGTGGGATAGATACACATGTTGCACTGCTCTCTGCATCGATGCAAGCGCTACTAGTGAGGATGCGCACACCAACACAAGAACATAGGGTGGACATGCAAAAGCGATTTAATTACTGTCGCGGCTGTATGTTGACGTAACTTAGGTCAACTTAATTTTGTAGTGTAGACTTGCCATGAGGCCCTGTCTATAGTAGAAAACTGCACTGATTTAACTAAATACGTTTAAAACTGATCTAGTCAAACTGGTATAAACCCCTAAAAACAGACACTTAAAATCTGTTTAAGCCTTGCTTATCAAGTTAGCTGTATGTTTAAACTTTACACAGGGATTTGTACCAGGTTAACTAGACAGATTTAAAATCTACGTTTGTTAAACTAGTGCAACTTCCTAGCACAAATACTTAGCTGCCCTCCTCGGCAAAAAGGTCCAAGAGAGTCTGAAAACTATCCTGCTTAGCTGAACATATTAGGTGAAGTCTTGGCCCCACTGAAGTTAATGGAAAAACTTCCACTAACTTCAATGGAATCAAGTTTTCACCCTATTATAAAGGATTCCATTCATGTTGGTTGAGGAACAAAGAGAATTCAGAAGACCTTTAGCTTCCTGCTCTCAGATCAACGTGGTCTCATTACATATTTACATTTGAGTTTTCTATCTAAACCACTGAAGCTGACATTCTCACTCCATCAGTGAAAAAAGCATAGAACCAAACCACCACTGAGGCCTGGTCCACATCCAAAAATTACATTGACCTAACTACATCACTCTGGGCTGTGAAAAAATTTCATTTGGTGAGGACCAGACACAAGATCTATAGGAGAAAAATCTTATGGACCTCAGGTTATCCAGGGCTATGAGTGGGTTATGCTTTCATAACCTCAATCCCTGACTGATTACGGATAAATTGAGTTTCATCTTGGGGAGCCCTGTGCAATCTAATTAGGTCAACTTAACTGCCACTGTGGTGCAATTAGGTCGACAGAAGAACTCAGGTGGATTACCTATGTGGATGGAAAACCCCCTTCTGTGGATATAAGAAGCACCTTCACTACAGTGGCACAGCTGCAGCATTGCAGGTCTGCAGTACAGACATGGCCTCAGTGTTCCAAGCGGGGCTAAGGAACTCCACAAGCTGAAACTCAATTTATCTGTAATCAGTTGGGACTCAAGATTGGCTCCCATGAAAGCATAGCCCACCACAACCCCAGATGACCTCAGGTCCATAAAAAATCCCTCCCCCCCGTGGATCCTGGGTCTGGTCCTCACCAAATGTCCCTTCAGATACTTTCCGGGTAAAGTATCACCCTATAGCAATTCAGCTCCATCTAAAGGTTGGCAAAGAATACAACCCATTGGATGTAATACTGACACTGACAACACTGATGTCATTTGAGGTGGAGTAAAGGTGACAGAAAGCATCCATGCCCCACCTTACATAAGGGTTTCTGAAGCATCTAAGGGAAGATGCTTCTACTAAGGCTCAGCACAAGTCCCTCCAAAGAAAGCCAGGCCATTTATTCTGTTTCATCCCTTACACATATGGGAGCAGGGGGACGGAGAGAAAAAAAAACAAGGTGAGATGATGTGGCTCTTATTATTACTGATCACCGTATCACTGACCGGACTGGCTGATGTCACTTCATATTCCTAGCATTTCAAACAAACACTAGACTGTACTGACAAAAAAAATTGGAGGAAAGCTTCTTGATTAGTGCTAACTTTCCTTTTCTTAGCAAGTGCAATTTGCCACACTCAAAGCCTAATTAAGGTCACAGTTCTCAACACTTTACAGTCAAAATTAAGGGAAATTAATATTAAACTACCAATCTCTGAGTTATATATTTTTTTAAAACATGCCCCACTCCTGTAATGTCCTTACCTTTTTGATTGACGTCATTTGCTCTTCTCTCCATTCAGGTTTGTTTTTCTTTGCATTCATAAAAAATTCATTTACTCTTTGTTCTAGTTGATCCATTGCATCTGCAGCACACAGAAGATTAAAAGCGTGTTACGATCTCACATATACAAATGCTATGCATTTTGTACAGGATGGTGGGTTTTTCCTTAAACCAAGAAGAATTGGCATGTTTTAATCAAAACTACTAGAGAAAAAACAAGCAGCCGAGTGAGGGAGAGAATTATTTGCCTTGCAATTCTGCTTCATGGAAGTCACTTGGGTAGGATTCTCACTCCAGGATATTGTGCTCTCCAGCATGAGACAAGCAGGGCTCCAAGTTCTAAAGGGTTTTTTTGTCCTTAAGACCAGTGGCAGCAGGCTGAAGCAAGCCCCAAACTCCTCACCCAGCTTTAAACTGCTGACCTTGGAACTTTCCAGCCAATTACAATTTGAGCAGGAAACAAAGTATCCTCCTAAGGAATCAAGTCAGATACAAACCCAAATAATTTAAAAATGAGTGCCTCAAAAAAGTAGAGCAATAGACCGAGACGAGGAAAACCTGTCACCTTCAAATGAAGTTCTTCTCCAACTATGCGAGGAAGTGGGAAACTGTGAAAGTCCTGCCAGAATGGTATCCTCAATGAAGTAGAATTGCGAAGTAATTCCCCATTCTTGCCAGATACCACCCGAGGAAGGATTTGGACTTATGTGACATCTACAGCTTGAGAGAAAAGTCACAAAAGGAAAAACTAAAGCCACTAATTCCACAGCCATCAGAATGAACAAGGAAAATGCCGTGTTTGGTTTACTTGCAAACAAGGAATGGAAATCTCCCAAAAGCATCAAGCTCAATACTTCAGCCCCGGGTAGTGATTAGACAAAAAAACTTTCAAAGGCATTTGATCAGCTGAAATAGGGAACAGCCCCCACCAAAAAAACAAAAAACAAACAAACAAAAATCAAGAGGGCAAGAAAAGTTCAGGTTTCCTTATTTTGGAATTAGATTCTGCAAGACCTAGAGACCAACAGGCCAAATCCAAGTTATAGCATTTGGTAAAATGTATGGAACAAGAACAATGTGACTACTTTGCACATGATCTGAGATAGAAACATTTTCAGGTGCAACAGCTGAGGTCACCCAGTCTCAACAGCATGAACCTTGGCCACACACTTCCAGTTTCAGGCCAGCCACTTGCAAAATATGATCTCACAGCAAACAATTTCCAGCTCTAATTGCTGGATTGTGCAGAAAATGGAGTCAAATAAAATATGAAGCGGAACTGGCTTTCTAAGGGATTTAGTCACGCCATGTAAAACCTCAGAGAGATCTTTTGGCGTCCAGCATATAGAAAAGAGTCTCACAAAGATGGGCACGAGCCCTGGAAATAGTGCTGGAAAGATGAGAGGCTCATCAGTATAGAACTCTGACAACACCTCAGAAAGGAGTCTCATATGAGTCTATAGCACAACCTTCTAAAATTTGGGGTAAGGTATTCCAGTCACTAGAGCCTGATGTCACAACCACCAAGAAAGTCAACTTTCATATAATTAAACTGGACTCACATGTACTGAATGGTTCAAGAAGAAACGTCATCAGCTTTTTTCACACCTATCTTAAGGAGATTCCGAAGAGTGTCAAGCCCTACAAGAACCTGACAAGCAGCTGCAGAGACAGCAGTTTATCACAGGCTGAAAAAGCTACCACATAGACCCAGACTGGATAAGCCTTTAATTGAACTTAAATAGAAGAAAAATGTAGTCAAGTAGTTTCTGTGCAGGGCAAATCAAGGTATCTATGCATGCCTATGTGTACACCAAACAATTTCCACTTGCTTTTTTAAATCCTTTGGGGAAATGGCTTTCAAGATGCCAGGCAGACAATATCCCACTATATATTAAGGGCTTTTGAAAACCTAGTCTTATAGCCCAGACAACAATGGCTCATGACCAATATGCCCAAAGTTCTTATTCTCCCTTTCTCACCAAGACAATAAATGTATTCAAAGGAATAAAGAGGCCAGCTATCTAAATACTCCAGAACCATTAAAAAAGCCAACTTTTTTGCTTGTTTAGTATCTTTTGGCCACAGCTGATGTTCACTGTGAAGCTAAGTTGCCTTGAAATCCGTCCTGGTTATAGAAGGCTGCTTTTGAAACACAGGTTTTCCCTTCCCTCCTTTGTGGGAGGGGGCCCAAGAGAATGAAGGGTGACCTTTCCATCCTTTGTCTTCTTAGGTCCTCAAAAAGGCCTGGTACAGGATACATCCTCCAACTTTTTCTTGATCCTCTGATAGCAGCCCTTATGGGCCAACTTTTTAAAGGTTGTGGCGCTTCTCCTGGGTAAAGGATTCTACCAGGGCAGAGGCATTTTCCAGACGTTGGCCTTAGGCTACAAAGGCCTGGTAATCCATGACTTGAAGGATTGAAGTTAAAGACTTTAAACACTTCACTTTGAACAAATTCCCATGCTGAGGCTCAGGAGTCTGGTCACCATTCAGCTGTTCTTTGCTCTGGCCATGACTGCCTCACATGGGGTGATGTGCAAAACAGAAAGCCATGTTATACTTTTTCCATGACTACCTAGTAATGACAGGTCCTCAGTCCCCCAGGTCAAAGATATGGTGCAAGAGTAATTTTAACTCTAACAGAAGGGGGTTCCTGGCCCAGGTATGTCTCAGTTGTGGCTCTTGTAAATTTCTAAGCCAGCACCAACTCAAGTCAGCTGACTTACACAGCAGTTTTAAAAGTTTTGGGAAAGTGGGACCCTCGCATTGAGTCACTGTCTTGCCACATCCCAACAGTCCTTTGGTTTATCTGTGATGTCCAACTAGCAACTATGATCACAAGCAGCTGGACTGGAAGAGAGAAAAAGAGTGCCTGGAATTTCTACAATGCTTTGGGAGGCTTTGGCACCACCTGCACAAGACTCACTGGGGTAACCAAGGTCTGGGTCAAAGTTTTTTCTGTTGACTCCCAGAACACTGAGGCCAATCTTGGTATCAAAATGCTCTAACTGTGTGAAGAGATTCACCAGCTTCCAAAGCAGCACCTGATCATGAATGGGAGAAAGAAATTTGTGGTCTCAATTTGAAGCTGCCCAAGTCAAAGGGCTGCTGGTTCTCTCTTGGTGCCACCTATTGACATTTTAAGGAGAAGCAATGCTTTACTTAACAAGCCATAATTCTGTACCAATGCCTTCAAGCCATGAAGCCTAGAGAGCACTAAGGCCGAGACACACCTCAGAGTCCCTGGTTTTAGAGGGCTGGTTCAGCATGCTTCAACAGACTGAAAATGACCAACCAGACTCACCAGGCAACATGAAGTCCCAATGCTCACAGATCAAGACTGGCTCAGGCTTTACTTCAAGAGCCTATGGTCTGACCTATTGCTAGACTTATAGAAATCTTCAGGGTTCTGCCTCAAGGTGATGTTCCCCACCATACTTGAGTTAACTGGTTACATCTGCAAATGGATTTAACACATCTACACTGCATGCCCAAACCAGTTAACTTGCTCATCCATTACAGTCTGTCTCAAGAATGTACTCTGATGCTACTGAGTTGTCTTCCTCCCTTTCTGAGGAATCAACAGACAACATATCGAAAAATCAAAGTAAAATTATTTAAAGCACGATGCTTCACAACTTTGTCACAGAGAAAGCAGAGGCTTTGTGAAGAATTATGCCAAAAATCTCTGTGTGGTATCCTGTCACTGAAGCCCTACAGACAACCACTGCTCAAGAGAGTCCAAAAGGCAGAGGCCCGGAAAACCAAAAAAATAGGGCTGTTGATTAATTGCAGTTAACTCATGCAATTAACTCACAAAAATTAATCGTGATTAATCGCAGTTTTAATTGCACTGTTAAACAACAGAATACCAATTGAAATTTATTAAATATTTTGGATGTTTTCCTACATTGTCATATACATTGTATTCTGTGTTGTAATTGAAATCAATGTGCATATTATTTTTTACAAATATTTGCACTGTAAAAATGATAAACTAAAGAAATAGTATTTTTCAATTCACCTCATACAAGTACTGTAGTGCAAGCTCCTTGCCGTGAAAGTACAATTTACAAATGTAGATTTTTTTTTGTTATATAACTGCACTCAAAAACAATGTAAAACTTCAAAGCCTACAAGTCCACTCAGTCCTACTTCTTGTTCAGCCAATTGCTAAGACAAACAAGTTTGTTTATTTATGGGAGATAACGCTACCCTCTTCTTATTTACAATGTCACCTGAAAGTAAGAACAGGTGTTCTCATGGCACTGTTGTAGCCAGCATTGCAAGATATTTACATGCCATATGCGCTAAAGATTCTTATGTCCCTTCATGCTTCAACCACCATTCCAGGGGACATGCGTCCATATTGATGATGGATTCTGCTTGATAACAATCCAAAGCAAGCAGACCGATGCATGTTCATTTTCATTATCTGAGTCAAATGCTACCAGCTGAAAGTTGGTTTTATTTTTTGGTGGTTTCGGTTCTATAGTTTCCGCATCTGAGTATTGCTCTTTTAAGACTTCTGAAAGCATGCTCCACTCCTCATCCCTCTCAGATTTTGTAAGGCATTTCAGATCTTAAACCTCGGGTAGAGTGCTGTAGCTATCTTCAGAAACCTCACATTGGTACCTTCTTTGCGTTTTGTCAAGTCTGCAGTGAAAGTTTTTCATTCTTAAAATGAACAACATGTGCTGGGTCATCATTCCAGACTGCTATAACATGAAATATATGGCAGAATGTGGGTAAAACAGAGCAGGGGACACACATTTCTAAAGACAGCTACAGCATTCGACCCAAGATTTAAGAATCTGAAGTGCCTTCCAAAATCCTGCAAACACACACAAACTTTTTCGTCTGATCGATTGGCTGAACAAGAAGTAGGACTGAGTGGACTTGCAGGCTCTAAAATTTTACATTTTATTTTTGAATTCAGTTTTTTTGTACAAAATTGTACATTTGTAAGTTCAACTTTCATAATAAAGAGATTGCACTACAGTACCTGCAATAGGTGCATTGAAAAATACTATTTCTTTTGGGTTTTTTACAGTGCAAATACTTGTAATCAAAAATAAATATAAAGTGAGAATTGTACACTTTGTATTCTGTGTTGTAATTGAAATAAATATATTTGAAAATGTACAAAACATCCAAAAATATTTAAATGGTATATTATTAACAGTGTGATTAATCACAATTAATTTTTTAATTGCATGATCACAACTAATTTTTTAGACCACTTGACAGGCTTAAAAAAAGGAAATATAGTGACAGAGCCGTAAGTGGAGAGCAAAAATGAATACCAAGAAGATACCTAAAGAAGTGTGGATGTCTGACAAAGCACAGGTAGGGTGCCAGCAGAAGTGGAAGGGGACTTGCAGAGAGCTCCTTCACCAAGCATGGCCAGGAAAGTTTCAGAGGCTTCACTCAGCCTCCTGCTGGGGTGAGGGGGGCAGCTGAAGCTCCAGCCCGCTGCCAGGGACTTGAGGGCCAGAAATGCAGTTTGGGACGTGCCACCTTGTCTTGCCCTAGGGAGCAGCACAAGACCCAGCAGTGAAACTCCTGCCCATCGTCATTGCCGTTGGGCATCTGGAGACCCGAATTCAACCCGGTGCCACTTCCACACACCCGGCGCTCGCCCGGCCCCGCGGGCTGCTCGGGGTCACGAGGCAGCCGGTGACGGAAGGGAAACAGCTCGGCACATTTCCGCCGAGCACGCTCCGCCCCTCGCTGCGTGAGGAACCCCGGCTGCTCCCCAGCCCCGCGCGGACCCTGCGCTGCGCGGGCTCCCGTCCCACAGCGCCCGCCGCCCGCTCGCTGGGCAGGAGAGTGCCCCGGGCTAGGCCCGCGGCGCACTCCCCCCTCCGGGCCGGCTCAGCCCCGCGGTGTCAGCCCGGGCCGCTCCCGGGAGGCGGTACGAGTCGCACTGCCACCGGCGGCCCGCAGCGCCTGGGGCTGAGCGCGCTGGTCCGCCCCCGCCGGCGGGCTGGGCGCGTGGGCGGGAGGAGGGCGGGGCTCACGTACTCTGCACCTGCAGATCCATCTCGCGCATCTCGGTGAACCTGTCGCGCAGATCCATGGGTAGCTGCTCGATCACTGCGGGGACACAGAGGGGAGGGGGGAGAGAGGAGTCAATCACCGCCAGGGGAGGGGGAGGGGGAACCTCCCGCGCTGCCGCCCCCGCCCCGCTCGGCCACCCGGCCAGGCCGGGACCCCCGCCCCGCGCACACTCACTCTCCAGATAGTCCTCCAGGTACAGCATGGCGGCGGCGAGGCCAGCGCTAAGGGGCTTCTCGCTAACGGGGGATCGTCCCTTCCAATATGGCGCCGCCGCCAACAACACCAGCAGCTCGACTCGGCGAAAACAACATTGGCGGGGGACGGGGCTCGCTCCGGCCCAGCGCCGATTGGCTGCCTGAGCCTCTGACGTACGCCGCGGCTGGCGCCCGCCCGCACCATCCTGGGAAACGTAGTTGCTGTGTGAAGGAGGGGGCAGGGACTACATGTCCCACAATGCACCGCCAGCAGCAGCGGGCTCGCTCTTGGGTTGAGGGGCGGGGCCAACTAGAAGTTCCATTGCGTTGAAGGAGGCTGGCGGGATCAGGAGCGCGTGGCGCGGCGGTATCAAGCCTTGGGGAGCGTTACACGGGCCGGCACTGGCCCCAGCGCCCCGTCCCCCTGCGCTCAGCCTCCGCCCCGGCTCGGTGTCCTGCCCTGTCCTTCAGCAGGCGCGCCAGCCTCGTGCACTGGGTTCCAGTGCCAGTCGCTCTCTCTTGTCTCTCGGTGCTGTTGGAGAGTCCCCAGCCCAAACCTGAACGGGCAGCGCTGTGCCTCCTCGCCCGTAGGCATCACTGGGTGCATGGCATTATTGGCCACAAGGCAAACATTGGCTTGTGTCACACGTTGACGTTCCCTCTTAAAAACTTATGCGAGCCAGAGGCAGCCGTATCATTGCCAATTCTCATGGTATTTACAGGTTTTCTTAACGCCTCGATTCCTGGAGTCATGTTATTTGATAAGAATGTCAGCTGTCTTTTTTCATAATTTAAAAAAGTATAATTCTAGTTCTGGTTGCAGGCAAAAAAAAAAAACTTGAAAATGTAACCTTGGTGTGTCTCAAAAGGCCCAAAAAACAGATGGCAAATAAAAATGTATTTTATTTTAAACCTCATGTTTTTTTTAAACCAAACTAGGGATATTTTAGGGCATGACTTAATTTCTGAATACTTGGAGTTGGCAATAATGCGCTAACCCCACATGGGTCCACAATATATATGTAACAAATAAATATACTGTATAAGCACCAAGTGTATTATGCACATAACTCTATATATTATCACATGAATGGACTAATATGAAACTGCCACTGTCCATACTCAGATATATAAAATATGACATGGCCCCAACCCTAAGCCCACTGAAGTCTGTGAGAATCTTTCCATTGAATTCACTGAGCTCTGGGTCAGGTCCTATGTATAGGAAACAATGGTCCTACCACAAAGGTAATAAAACTTGTTCAATTCCACTATAATCTTTCATTCATTTTCTACAAAAATGTCATTTTGGAATGAAGTATCACAGGGGTAGCCATGTTAGTCTGGATCTGTAAAAAGCAAGAAAGAGTCCTGTGGCACCTTAAAGACTAACAGATGTATTGGAGCATAAGCTTTCGTGGGTGAATACGTGGGTGTCTGGCGAAGAGGGTATTCACCCACGAAAGCTTATGATCCAATACATCTGTTAGTCTTTAAGGTGCCACGGGACTCTTTGTTGCTATTTTGGAATGAAGTTTTCATCTCAGTCAAAAGAACACTGGGTTTTGCTCTTCTATTATTATTGTTATTTATTATTATTTATTACCAGAGAATTTAAGAGCCCTAGTCATGTAACAGGGCCGCATTACACTAGGCACTGTACTAACAGAACAAAAAGATGATCTCTGCCCCAAACAACTTACAATGTAAATAGTTGGAGTTTGTCGGGGGAGGGGAGGAGTTGCAAGTGGTATTGGTTTGTTAGCAGCATACGAATTGCCATACCAGTGCAAGACCAGTGGTCCACCCAGTACATTATCCTGTTTCCGTCCAGTGACTTGTACCAAATGCATCAAAAGAAGGGGTAAAGAGCTCTATAATGAAAATTTGAGTGGAAACCCTTCAAAGCTGGATTTCAGTTACATGAAGATAGGCTTGGCAGAATTTTTTTTTTTAGCATTTCAATAGATATTTGTTTATTTCAAGCATTTTTTATTTTTATTCACAATTCACAGTTACAGGAAATTATAAAGGGATCCGACAATAAGGGATGTTAATAATTATTTAATGACAGACGAGATTCAAAAAGTTAAAGCTTTGTAACTTAAAATACAAACTGTTAACATCACAGGTGAAAATATACAAAGTAAATATCCCTAAATCATAACCTAATAAGTTCTCAAGCATCATTTTTCTTATATTACCTATCTGTAAATTTCAATTATCATTAATGGATATACAGTATTTTTTTCCTGGATTTATTAGTGTATGGTGAAATTGACATTTACTGGGAGGAGAAAAGGACATTTACCAAGCCCATATATAAAAAGCTAAGCAATTTTGAAGAGTTCTATATCACCATGGGCCATAGAAGCGTCTCCACGCTGCCCTGACAATGAGCATTAGCTCTTTCAGGAAGGATTGCATTTAGGTGATCAGTCTCCATACTCATTCTGTCTTTAGCTAGTCTGTGAACAAGTAACAATTAGTGCCAGCTATGGTTGTCGTGGTGTGGATATTTGTCTGAGACCATCAACTAATTTCATATAGGTATATTAACATTTGATATATGTAATTCGTTCAGTCACTATCAACCAGAAGATTTAGAGATGAAAAGTACTGTACTCCAATCCTATCCAGTCTTCCAAGTGCAATTTCTGATATGTAGGGCTAGGGACATAATACAGTAACTCCTCACTTAACGTTGTAGTTATGTTCCTGAAAAATGTGACTAAGCGAAACGATGTTAAGCGAATCCAGTTTCCCCATAAGAATTAATGCAAATGAGGGGGTTAGGTTCCAGGGAAATTTTATATATATATACACACACAGACACAGTATAAGTTTTAAATAAACAATTTAATACTGGTACACAGCAGTGATGATTGTGAAGCTTGGTTGAGGTGGTGAAGTTAGAGAGTGGAAAAGGGTGGGATATTTCCCGGGGAATGCCTTACTGCTAAATGAACTAGCAATTGACTGAGCCCTCAGGGGGAGGGCCCTCACAACACTCTACAAGGCAGCAGGAAAGGAGGGAGGGCAGACAGAGACACAGGCCCTGTGTGTGAGAGAAAAAATGCGCATTTCCCCTTTAAGTAGCTGACCCCTGGCTTAAGTACACTGCCTTTTTAATTAAATCAGCTTGCTGAGACCTGAGACCGGCAGCTACTGCCTAGAAGCTCCCTCCGTGTCTGTTGTGTGTAGAGTGACCAGACAGCAAGTGTGAAAAATCGGGATGGGTGAGGGGGTAATAGGAGCCTATATAAGAAAAAGACCCAAAAATCAGGACTGTCCCTATAAAATCGGGACATCTGGTCACCCTAGTTGTGTGTCCCCCCCTGCTCTATGGAAGATGGGGTAAGCAGGGTGCAGGAGCAGGAGGGAGGGGGAGACACCCTGACATAAGCCCCTCTCCCCCTGTACAGCAAGCAGGAGTCTCTGGGAGCAGCTCCAAGGCAGAGGGCAGGAGCAGCACATAGCAGTGGGGGGGAGGGACAGCTGCTGCACAGGGAATTTAGGGGAGTGAGGAGCTGATAGGGGGAGCTGATGGGGGGGGCTGCTGGTCCACCCTGGTTCCAACCACCCACCAGCTAGCTGCAACGGATTGCAAGCAGTGGACACAACAGGTGGCTGCCAAAGGACGTTAGAAGGGAGCATTTCACAACTTTAAATGAGCATGTTCCCTAATTGATCAGCAACTTAATATCAAAACTACGTTAACCGGGACGACTTTAAGTGAGGAGTTCCTGTACAGACTTGGGGGATTGTCATGGGGCAATTTCAAGTTGTGTGTGAGGAAACCATTTCTACCAGGTAAGGATAAAAGGGGTAAAAACAAGGGTGATGTCATGGTAGGGATTTACTACAGACCACCTCACCAGGAAAAAGAGGTGGATGAGGCTTTTTTAAAGCAACTAACAAAATCATCCAAAGCACAGGACTTGGTGGTAATGGGGGACTTCCACTACCCAGACATCTGTTGGGAACATAACACAGCAGGGCACAGATTAGCCAAGTTCTTGGAATGTATTGGAGGCAATTTTTTATTACAGAAGGTGGAGAAAGCTACTAGGGGAGAGGCTGTTCTAGATTTGATTTTGACAAGTGGGGGAAACTGGTTGAGATTTTGAAAGTGGAAGGCAGCTTGGGGGAAAGTGATCATGAAATGGTAGCGTTCATGATTTAAAGGAATGGTAGGAGGGAGAATAGTAAAATAAAGACAATGGATTTCAAGAAGGCAAACTTCAGCAAACTCAGGGAGTTGGTAGGTAAAATCCCATGGGAAGCAAGTCTAAGGGGAAAAACAGTTCAAGAGAGTTGGCAGTTTTTCAAAAACACATTATTAAGGGTGCAAAAGCAAACTATCCCACTGCGTAGGAAAGTATGGCAAGAGACCACCCTGAGATCTTCAATGATCTGAAACTCAAAAAAGAGTCCTACAAAAAGTCAAATTACAAAGGATGAATATAAACAAATAACACAAGTATGCAGGAACAAAATTAGGTCAAATTACAAAGGAT